AGCGGGGAGGACCGTTAACGCACCAGATGTTTGGCACCGAGAGGCGGGAGGAAGTCGTTTACCCGGGGCCCTGAGTCCCCGCCCCATCCCAAAAAAACACACCAAAAAACAGGGGCCCCCCTTCGCCATGGCCCGCACGGTTCCCCCGGTAGCTCCGCCACCGGGGCCGCCGGCCCGGGGTTCGCTCAGCCTTCACCGTGCCTACCTACGGAGCCCGCTGGGGTTGCTACGGCTGGGGCAGCTGGGGCTGGGGGCTGCTTTTTGGGTGACGGTGGCGGCTCACAAGTACGAGGGGGCGGCTCACTTCGCCCTCTTCGCCGCCGTCCTGGTCTGGCTCCTCACCCTGGCTCTCTTCGGGCTCAGCCTTTTGGGGCGCTGGGAGCTGGTCCCCTGGCTGGGTTCCCGTTGGCTCCTCACCAACCTGCTGCACGACCTGGCCCTGGGCGTAGGGCTCTACGCGGCCGCCACCGGCATCATGGGCTACAAAGCCGGGAGGAAAAGCTATTGCAACCTGCCGGGCTACAGCCAGCACTGCCTCTACGGTGCCTACCTGAGTGCCTCCGTCTGCGGGGGCATGGCCGCCTGCCTGTACCTCTTCTCCGGGCTCTATTGCCTCTTACGGCGCTGCCGGGACCAGCGTGACATCGTTTGAGACCCTCCGCGGCGCTCGGCTCCCCTTCTCCTCACCCGCGGATGGAGCGCAGCAACCCCCCGCCTCGGGGGGGACGAAGTGACCCTGCCGCCCTTATCTCCTCCTGGCTGACTGCACCACGCTTCCTCCGGAGACTCCTGCACAGACGGATGGACAGACAGAAGCCTTCTGCATCCCCTGCATCCCACTGAGACAGCATGGACACCCAGCTGCTGCACAGGCCTCTCTCCCACCCCCGGACAGATGTAGACCGTTGCAAATGGAAGGACCCCCTAAGAGGGACACCAATCTCTGGAAGCCCCCCCAGGTCCCCTGCCCAACTTCTCCTGCCCCCGGCTTGGCAGATGCTGTGTGCTCAGGTGGGTGCTGACCTGGCCCTGGGGCGGAGGGGGACTGGCCTGGGGGAGCTGAGCTGGGGGAGGTGGTGCATAGTGGGGTTAGGTGGGTGTAACTCCCCCACCCTGACCCGCTGGCAGCCCCCTCCTGCCGTTCCCAACTTTGTGGCGCCTCCGCAATTCCCTAATGGAGGCTCTGATCTCGGCTTCCCCAGCCCAGGCCCCTCCTTCTGTCTGGCCTGAACATGTCCGCTGTCTTGCCAGAGCCCGCGGGGCTCAGCACCTCCCTGCCCCGCGCTCTGGGGGTGTGGAGACACCCCAGTCCTGCACCAAGGGCTGGGCACGGCATCACTCTGACCCCCCCGCACACCCTGTCCTGCTTGGGGGCTGAGCCTACACAGGGCAGTGGGGCGAGGGGAACGGAGAGGGGGGCCACAGCCTGGCCCTGTGCCCCTGGGCTGGGGGTAAACTCCTGTCGTGCTGCCCCAGCAGGGAGCTGGGCACCCCTGGGGTTGAAGGGAGCTGGGCACTGGGTCGTTCTCTCCCTGTGCCCCCCGGCAGTGAGGTTTGTGGCTCTGAGCCACCGAGCCTGCCCCGGGGCCTGGCTGCTCCAGCAGAGACGGGCACGGCCCTGCCAGCGGCACCGGGGCCTGGCCCACACAGCCCTGCCTGGCTCCGCGGGGCTTGGTTTATCATCCCGGAAAACTCTTGTCTCGGGATTTTTCCAGCTGCATCTTGGGGCCCTTCACTGTCCTGAGACCACGGTGAGGCTGAGGGGAAGGGTGAGCGTGACAGCGTGGCGGTGCTGGGCTTCCACTGGCACGGTGGCCCTGGGGGAGCTGGGGACAGGGACACTGCCCGTCTCGGGGAACAGGAGAAGAGGATGCTGGCGGAGGAGCCAGCCTGGCCCTGGATCCACAGCCCGCCAGGTGCCAAGCCCTGAGGACGCCATGCGGAGACAACTGGAGTAACGGGCAGCCAGACACTGGGAATTTTTGGAGAAGCACCACACCAGCGCTGCCCTGCCACCAGCCCTCCTCGCCCTGCCTCGGGGCAGGACCTCTCCATCACATTGAGTGTGAGGGAGGGTCTGCCCTCAGCCTGTGTTGGCCCAGATCAGTGGGACGGGTGTCTCCAGGAGCTGGCCATGGGCTGTGGCTGTCACCTGGGGTTCCCTGGTGCCTTTTTTTACGCTGGAGAGCAGCAGCTGTGAATCCCCTGGGGCCCAGAAGGGTCTGCGGTTGGCGCCGAGTCACCAGTTCCACCACGAGGTGCTGTCTCAGCCAGTCCCCGCTCGTGCTTGGGGGCCCTGCCAGCTCCCGGGCCATCTACCCCTTCCCTGGGGAGGTGCTGTCCCTGTCCCCCGTCAGGGCTGGTCCCTGACCCTGCCTGCCCCTGCCTGCTCCAGCGCAGCCCTCTGCCCAGGCTGCCCCAGACGCTCAGCGGGGCTCCTGCCACCACAAGTGCCTTTCCCTGGCTTCCCGCAGCCCTGCCTGTCACGCCGGTTCTGTCCCCTTCCAGCCCCCTCTTCGGTGCCTATGGATTCACCTTCCAAATAAAGCAACGTTGGCGCTCACTGGGTGTCCGGGGCTTTGTGCAGGGGCTGGGACCCGCTGGGGACGGGCTCTGAGCTGAGGTCACACCCCGCTCCGACACCCTGTGCCCTGGGGCCTCCCTGCCTGGAGCTTCCATCCGTGGTCACAGTGTCCTGGTGTGCTCTGGGGTCACAGACACTGAGCCATCCCTCCCTGTAAAGAGGCTTAAATCCCTGCCCTCGGGGACAGGGGCTGTTCCCAGCCCCGCTGCCCCCTCCAGGGACAGGGCACAGCCGGGTGCTCGCATGGGACCACCTCCCGCAGCCCGGCGGTGCAGAGGGAGGACGAGTCCCCGAGGCTCTGTGGCTGCAGGGACAGGATGAGGACAGGATGGAGCTGCATTCCTACGAGCTTCATCACCGCGGGGCTGAAAGGGCTCTCTGTCCTGGGGTCCTGCTGGGCAGTTGTGCCCATGCTGCCGGGTCCCTGGAGAGCCGGGGGCAGGCTGGGGGCAGCCGGCATCTCCCAGGGCTGGCTCTGGCCCTGGGACACACTCTCCAGACAAGGATCGGCTCTACCCCACAGCTGGGGTGACACTGGGACCCCCAGCCCTCTGCCCATGGGGCATGTGCCCTGCTTGCCAGATGCTCTGTGGTCAGCAGCGGTGTTGAGCCTCACACTGCCCTCGTAGCCGGAAAGACAGAATAGGATTAACAAGGTTGCATGGAGCATTATGGAATGGCACCCCTTGGCTTTTGGCATCGGACACAGTCCGGGGTCCCCAGAGCACCCCAGGGAGGCAGCAGCCCTGCCGTACCCCAGGGACCTGATGGGACAGCCTGTGGTGCCCGGGGTGGTGGGAGTGGGGCCACAGGCTACTGGGCTGGGCTGTTCCTGGGGCACGGAGTGGCAGCAGATGAGCTGCCAGCTGCTCTCACAGCCCTGGGAGGAACCCCCTGCTCCCTCCCAGGGACCCCCGGTGCAGGGCTGGAACCTGGTGTCTCCTCGTGGAGAGGTGTCCCAGCAATGGAGCCCACGGGGACAAACCCACAGTGCCCTGGTACGGCTGGGAGCAGGCCCTGCTGAGACCTGGACTGGGACCGAGTCCTGGATCAGAATCAGACCTGGGTCAGGAGCCAACCCAGACTGGGAACGAGCCCTGGACCAGCCCAGAAGCCAGATCAGCCTCATGGAATCACGGAATTGTCGGAGTTGGAAGGGACCTCTAGAGACGCTCCAGTCCAACCCCCTGGCCAAAGCAGGGCTGCCCAGAGCACATCACTCAGGAGCATCCAGGCGGGGCTTGAAGATCTCCAGAGAAGGGGACTCCACAGCCTCCCTGGGCAGCCTCTGCCAGGGCTCTGCCACCCTCACCCCAAACAAGTTCTTCCTCCCATTGGAGTGGAACTTCCCATGGTCCAGCTTGTGCCCGTTGCCCCTCGTCCTGTCCCTGGGAACCACTGGAAAGAGTCCGGCTCCATCCTCCTTCAACCCCCCCTTTAGAGACTTGTCAGCATGAAGAAGGTCTCCCCTCAGCCTTCTCTTCTCCAGGCTCAAGAGCCCCAGCTCTCTCAGCCTTTCCTCATCAGGGAGATGCTCCAACCCCTCCATCCTCTCTGTTGCCCCACGCTGGACTCTCTCCAGCAGTTCCCTGTCTCTCTTGAACTGGGGAGCCCAGCACTGGAGGCAGGATTCCAGTTGTGGCCTCCCCAGTGCAGAGCAGAGGGGGAGAATGACCTCCCTCCACCTCCTGGACACACTCAGCCCTACACAGCCCAGGATCCCATTGGCTTCTTGGCCACAAGGGCCCATTGCTGGCTCCTGGAGAGTTTACTGTCCACCAGGACCCCCAGATCCTTCTCCTCAGAAGTGCTTTCCAGCAGGTCCACCCTTAACCTCTATTGGTGCTTGGGGTTCTTCCTCCCCAGGTGCAGGACCCTACGCTTGCCCTTGTTGAACCTCATGAGGTTCTTCTCTGCCCAGCTCTCCAGCCTGTCCAGGTCACGCTGGATGGTGGCACAGCCCTCTGGAGTGTCGGCCAGTCCTCCCAGTTTGGTATCATCAGTGAACTTGCTGAGGATACACTCTGTCCCCTCATCCAGGTCATTTATGAATATGTTGAACAGGACTGGGCCCAAGTATTGACCCCTGGGGGACTCCACTGGTTACAGGCCTCCAACTTGACCCTGCTCCGTAATTTATAACCCTCTGAGTTTTGTCACACAGCCAGGACTCAGTCCACCTCACTGCCCCCTCAGCTAGCCCATACTTAATTTTCTAATGAGATGTTATGGGAGACAGTGTCAAAAGCCTTGCTGAAGTCAAGGAAGATGACATCTGCTGCTCTCCCCTCATCCAGCCGTCCAGTTATGACGTCATACAAGACTATCAGATTGGTGAAACATGATTTAGCCTTGGTAAATCCGTGTTGACCACTTCCAATAACTTCTTGTTCTTCAATGTGTTTGGAGATGGCATCGAGAACGAGTCGCTCCATTAATCTCTCAGGGACAGAGGTGAGACTAATTGGCCTGTAGTTCCCTGGGTCCTCTTTCTTGCCCTTTTTGTAGTCTGGTGTGATATTTGCCTTCCTCCAGTCCTCAGGCACTTCTCCTGTTCTCCAAGACCTCTCATAAATGATGGAGAGTGGCTCAACGATAACGTCTGCCAGTTCTTTCAGCACTCGTGGGTGCACCCCATTAGGGCCCATAGACTTATGGATGTCTAGTTTGGTTTTCCCTCAACAGACGGAAAGTCTTCCTCTCTCCAGAGGTCTCCAGGGTCTGGGATTCCTGAGGGGCAGCTTTGGCAGTGAAGACCAAAGCAAAAAAGGCATTCAGCAACTCTGCCTTCTCTGTGTCTTCCACCACCAAGGCACACACCTCACCCACCAGTGGGCCTACATTTCCCTAGCCCGCCTTTTTTTGTTGATATGCTGAAAAAAAATCTTCTTGTTATCTTTAACTGTGGTAGCCAAGTTAAGTTCTGCTTGGGCTTTTGCTGTTGTAATTTTTCCCCTGCATATCTTCACTACACCTTGATACTGCTCATAAGTAACCCACCCCCTTTTCCAGAGATCGTAGACTTTCCTTTTCCCCCCAAGGTCCAGCCAAAGCTCTCTATTTAGCCAGGTCGGTCTTCTTCCCCGTTGGCTTGTTTTATGGGACCTGTGAGGTGGATTGAAAACTGGTTGAAAGACAGAGCTCAGAGGGTCGTGATTAGGGGCACAAATACAGCTGGAAGTCTGTAACAAAGGGTGTTCCCCAGGGGTCAGTACTGGGTCCAGTCCTCTTCAATGTATTCATCAATGGCCTGGATGGAGAGATGGAATGTATCCTCAGCCAGTTTGCTGGTGACACAAAATTGGGAGGGGGGGCTGACACACCAGAAGGCTGTGCTGCCATCCAGTGAGACCTGGACAGGCTGGAGAGTTGGGCAGAGAGGAACCTGGTGAAATTCAACAAGGGCAAGTGCAGGGTGCTGCACCTGGGGAGGAATAACCCCATGCACCAGCACAGGTTGGGGGGGACCTGCTGGAGAGCAGCTCTGAGGAGAAAGACCCGGGAGTCCTGGTGGACAACAGGATGCCCATGAGCCAGCAATGGGCCCTGGTGGCCAAGAAGGTCCATGGCATCCTGGGGGGCGTCAAGAAGACTATGGTCAGCAGGTGGAGGGAGGTCATCCTGCCCCTCTGCTCTGCCCTGGGGAGGCCCCAGCTGGAGCACTGGGACCGGTTCTGGGCTCCCCAGTTCCAGAAGGACAGGGAACTGCTGGAGAGGGGACAGCAGAGGCTACAGAGAGGATGAGGGGCCTGGAGCATCTCTGTGATGAGGAAAGGCTGAGGGACTTGGGGCTTTTTAGTCTGGAGAAGAGAAGGCTGAGGGGGGATCTGATCAACGCCTATAAATACTTCAAGGGTGGGTGTCAGGAGGATGGGGCCAGGCTTTTTTTCAGTGGGGCCCAGGGACAGGGCAAGAGGGAACGGGCACAACCTTGAACGTAAGAAGTCCCATCTCAACAAGAGGAGGAGCTTCTTTCCTGTGAGGGTGGCAGAGCCCTGGCAGAGGCTGCCCAGAGAGGTGGTGGAGTCTCCTTCTCATTCAAACCCCGCCTGGAGACGTTCCTGTGGGACCTGCTGTGGGTGGCCCTGCTCTGGCAGGGGGTTGGAGGAGATGATCTCCAGAGGTCCCTTCCAACCCCATGTCATCCTGTGATTCTGTGACCTGGGGATGGCCTTCTGCAATTTTGAGAGTTCCTCAAAAAGGAGTTCCTCCTTGAAGTATGCCCAGCCTTCCCGGGCACCGATGCCCCTCAGCACCGTCTCCCCCGGGACACTCTCCCCCACGCTCCCGAACAGGCCAAACTCTGCCCTGCGGAGCCCCGGGGCGGCAGTTCCGCAGGCCCGGGCCGAGCCCTGAATCCAGACCGGGCCCACCGGGCCCTACACCCTCGGCCGGCCCGAGCCCGGGCCCAGGCGGGCGGCAGCTCTCCCGGCGCACCCACGGGCCCAAGGCCCGTCCCCGCCCGGTCCCGCCGCCCATGGACCGCCCCCCCCTCCCCCGGGGCCGGGCGGGGCGGAGCCGAACAGCTGCCGCTTCCGGGGCGGGGGCCCTCTGGGGGCGGGGCTTCTGCCTATTCTTCCCAGCCCGGCGGTTCTGATTGGCTACGGTGCCAGCGCCGCGGCTGAGGTCACGGCGCACCTGGCTGCTTCCCGGAAGTGGGGTGCAGTGTAGGGCCGAGCTCGGCGGCGGCAGCGGGTCCGGCCCGGCCCGGTTTCGCTCCCCTCCCCCCGTCTCCCCCGGTTCGGCCCCGCTCCGCTCGCCCGGGGCCCGGCTCGGCCCGTCATGCAGGCGGTGGAGCGGGACGGGGCGGCGGGCGGCCCCGAGGGGGCGGCGGGAGGCGGTGAGGCCCCGCCGGAGCCGTCGCCTCCCAAGGCCGCCGCCGCTTTCGACCTGCTGGAGCTGGTGCGGAGCTACCGTCGGCTGGAGCTCTACCTGGAGCCCCTGCGGGACGCCGCCGAGGGCGTCCGCTCCCTCCTCCGGTAGGTGCGGGCGGGGGACCGGGACCCTGCAGGGGACCATCGGGACCGGGAGCGTCCCCGGGGCATCACGTCCCTCTCTCTCCTTCTCCCCCTCCGCAGGTGGCAGCGGCCCGTGTGCTCCCTCCTCGTCTGCCTCGGCCTCAACTTCCTCCTGCTCACCCTCGGCCAAGGTGCGTGTGGTGGGGACGGGGTCGGTCTCCTCCCTCCCTCCCCTGACCCCCGGGGCTGACGCTCTCCCCTCCGCCCCTCTCCTTCCAGCTGCCTGGTACTCGGTGCTTGCCCTGTTGGTGGTGGTGCCAGCCCTGCTGGGCTACCTGCAGGAGACCTGCCGTGCCCGGCCCTCGGAGCTGGAGCTGGTGCGCAGGAGGTACCACAGCGTCCGGAGAGAGGACCTGCGGAAGGTGCAGCTCTCGCGGCAGGAGGCCATCACCCAGGTCAAGAGCTTGTGAGTCTCTGCAGAGCCCGCCTGCCTGGGGGGTTCCTGGGGCCTCTGCGGCTGGAAAGGCTTCTCTGTGGCTTTGGAAGGCCTGGGTTTGTGCCAGCCTGGTCCCTGTAAAGCATGTGAGTGTGGGGCAGCCAGGGTGTGTGTTTGTGGGGCCTTTTTTGTGACACTGAGGTCTCGTTCGCAGCCTTATCCAGCTGGAGGAATTCCTGAGCGGGATGTGCTGCAGCTGTGAAGCAGTGTACCGAGTGCTGTACTGGGAGAACCCCACAGTCTCTTCCCAGTGAGTAGCATGGGGTCAGGGATCCTGCAGTTGGCTTGGCAGGGAGAGGGGCCTGGCCTGTGGAGCTGTGTGTGGTGTGTTTGGTGCTCGGAGGGAGCAGGCAGAAGACCAGGTGAAGGATTGGGGCTTGTGCTTGTGGCATGAGTTGCTTTTTCTTGATTGCTGTGTCCTGCTGCTCCTTCCCAGGTTTTATGGGGCGCTGCTGGGCTCTGTCTGCATCCTTTACCTGCTGCCCCTCTGCTGGGTCTTGGCCATCCTCAACAGCACCCTGTTCCTGGGCAACACCCAGTTCTACCAAGGTAAGAGGCCTCCTGGAAGTGGCTTGTGTGGGGTGGGTTGGGGAAAGGATCCACTGAAGCCAGGGATCCTGCCCTGGACCTCTCCCAGCGCCCTTAGGTGAGCCCAGTGTCCTGTGTCAGGCTCTGCTGTGGGACCTGACCCCCCAGTGATGTCCTGGGGATGGCATTCAGCAGCCCAGGTTGGGTGCTGGGGCTCGGATGTGAGAGGTGAAGCTCTCTCCTGATGTGTGTGTCCTGCCCTGGGTGCTATTTCCCACTCTCCTCTGTCCTGTGGCAAACTGGGACCTGGTGATGCAGCCTGTGCGTGAGTGTCACCACCCTTCCCGCTCCCTGACCCTGCTCTGCAGGACCTGAAGCACTCCTGTTGCCTGTGGCAGTGTATGACACAGGCTTGAAAACGTGCTGTCAGAGGGGAGGGGAAGAGCTGGAGACACCCTCTGGTCTGTCACACCTGCTGGAGGAGAGTTGGAGGAGACCTGTGTGGCTGAGCCATGGCTGAGGCCCCTGCTGTTCCTTATCCCGAGCTGGGGCAGGTGGTGGGGTAGTTCCTTGCTGCCCTAACTTTGAAGTGTGAGCAGGGGAGGGCTCAGGGCACCTGATGGGTGGAGGCTGTGTGTGCCAATGTTCCACCTCGAGCACTGGAGACAGGTTCTTGCCGTGGCTTCTGTGTGGTGGGGGCTGGGAGAAGGGAAGTGCCACCCTCCTCTAGCTGCCTTCCCCTCTTACCAGTGATAAAGGAGCTCAAGGCCTCGGTTGAGCAGTGTGTGGGCACCAAACCCCTTGAGAGCCCTCCAGAGCCTGCTGAACCCCTGCCAGCTGCTGCCCCCCTGGATCGGACCCCCACGCCCACCAGCACAGAGGTGAGATGGGCAGATTCAGCTCCCAGCCCTGCCCCTATGTCCCTCTACCTCCTTCCAGCTCTGCCCCTAAGCTCCTTCCAGCTGCCAGCTTTGCTGGGAGCCCCTCCTGAATTATTGGGGGGCTGTCCTGCCACACTGCAGGCTTGGCTCAGTCCTTTTGTGATGTGTATGGGCTCAGCCTGGGGAGGTGGGGGCTTCCCTCACCTTCTGTGACTCCTGTCTTCTCAAGAAGCTGCTGGAGGGCTGGTCCTTTGTCGTGGAACCTGCCACAGAAGTGTGGCCCCCACCTTGGGCGAGGGTGGGGGTACAGCAGGACTAGCTCTGTGCATCTCTTGCAGGACCTTACCCCTGGCAGCGTGGAGGAGGCGGAGGAGGCAGAGCCTGACGAGGAGTTCAAAGATGCTATTGAGGTTTGAGGCTGGTGGGGGTGGGCTGTGCCCACAGGGCAGCCGTGGTAGGAAGGGGAGAGGGCCTTGACGGGCAAGCTGGGCTCTCGGGGAGGGTGAGTGTGGGGCTGGTTGCCTCTGACTTCATCTGCACTGCCTCTCCTCTCTGTCCCATGCTGCTGGAGAAGGAGAACCAGCTGCTGGTCATGGTGAGTACTACCATGGCAAGGTGTGCATGAGGGGCATCTCCTCCCAGCTGGAGCTGGCAGCCTTTGCTTGGTTTGCTGGTGGCTCGTGGTGATGCCAGGTGGAGCATCCTGCTTGTTGGGTGCCCATCTCTGGGGCGAGCTGCCCTGCAGCCCCTGACCACGCTCCCAGCCCCCCCTCTGCCTTCAGCTGGCTCTGTTCTCTGCAGGAGGATGACGAAAGCTCTCAGTGTTCAGCAGATTTTGACCTCAGCCTCCCGGACAATGGTTTTATGAGCAAAAATGAGGTCATCCGCAGCAAGGTGTCGCGCCTGACGGAGCGCCTGCGCAAGCGCTACCCCAGCAACAACTTTGGTAAGGCTGGAGTGGGTGCTGCCTGGGGGAGCCCAGCAGAGCTGGGTTTGTGCTGCTCCCAGTGGGGACCACTGAACTGGGAGCAGACAGAGTGGTGTGGTGCCTGCTAGGGCTGTGCTGCCACCTCCAACGACCTCTCTCCTCCATGGGAAGGATGTTCCCAGCTTTCCTGGGAAGGGCAGGGATGGGAGGGTGCAGTGTCGTGGTCTCCAGGCTGAGCCTTTGCAAGGGGCATGGGTGCTGCTGTGCCTCCCTCAGTCCCAGGCAGCAGAGCCCTGTCTGACTCCTGCTCTCTTTCTTGCAGGGAGCTGCACGGGCTGCGCAGCCACCTTCTCTGTGCTCAAGAAGAGGGTGAGTCTTCAGCTTCAGCCCCAGCTCGCTGCTTGCACCTGGGGCAGAGGTGTTGTGTGTCTGGCTCTCTCTGGCATTCTCTGGCAGCTCGAGTGGCTGGTCTTGGTCACAGCCCAGCAGCAGGTGACCTCAGCTACGTGCTGGGTGTTGCGTGCCTCATGGTGCCAGGGATCCCTCGTGCTGTGAAGCCTTTGTGCCTTTTGCTCTTTCGGAAGCTGCCTGAGGGCAGACCCCTGTGTGTTGGTGTGCAGTGTCCCAGTTTAGCCCATTTCTCATGGCCTGAGAGCTTTCTGGTGAAGCAGAGCGTGGGTCTGTTTGGGGAACTAGGGGAGCAAAGGCCACCCCTGTTGTCCTGTCTGAGCCCCTGTGGGTGATGCCTGGCACTCTGTCCCCTGGGTAGTTCTGCAAAGGATGTCTGTCCTTTCTGGTGAAGCAGAGCGTGGGTCTGTTTGGGGAACTAGGGGAGCAAAGGCCACCCCTGTTGTCCTGTCTGAGCCCCTGTGGGTGATGCCTGGCACTCTGTCCCCTGGGTAGTTCTGCAAAGGATGTCTGTCTTGCTCCCTCCAGACTCTCTTCCTGCTGCCTCTTGTTCTCCAGACTTGTGGCCTCCTCCCCTTCCTTCTGGGTTAGCCTGATATCTCTGGACCTTACTTCCCTCCAGAGTTACAGCACAGGAAGTGATAGTGTCCTTAGACCTCCTGGAGCTTGTGCTCCTGGTGCTTTCCTAGGCTGGGCACGGGCTGCCCGTGATGTTAGAGTCTGCAGATCCAGCACTGGGCCTGGGTGATGTGTCCAGGTGCTGGGGGCAGGTGGCCCATCTGCTACTGCTGGGGGGGCTTAGGGCCCGCACTCACTCCCCATCAGCAGGGACCACTGTGGGGTGTTCTGGCACTGAAGTTTGCTGGGGAGGGCTGGAGTGTGCACAGAGCAGTGTCTCACTTCCCTCTCTCTCTCTCTCTTCACAGCGGAGCTGCAGTAATTGTGGGAACAGCTTCTGCTCCAGGTGTTGCTCCTTCAAGGTCCCCAAGGCTGTGATGGGAGCCACGGGTGAGTGTGAAGGTGGAGGAGGAGGGGGGTCTCACTCCCACCTGTGCCATCTGCTGTGGGGATTTGCCCTGGTGCTGGTGGAGAGGGTTGGCAGGACCTGCCCCGCGCTGCCTGGCTGGGATCAGAGCAGTGAGGGGTTCGCAGCTCCGTGGCTGGGGTCCCTATCCCGTGGGTGAACGGTGTGGTGGGGAAGGGGAGCATCTCTGACACCTGCTTTCCTTTCCAGCCCCGGAGGCTCAGAGGGAGACGGTGTTCGTGTGTGCTCTGTGCAACCAGGTGCTCACCAAATGACTGAGAGAGTCCCAGCCAGCTCCTGGGGCCTGCACCGCCTGACGCCGGGACAGCGGGTGCCCTGCCCTTGCTGGATGGCAGCCTGGGCTGCTTGTTTCCTGGTGTGGTGTCACCCTGCCAGAGGACACCTCTGCTCACCGCTGCTCCTGCCAGCGCTCGGCTGGGGCAGAGCAGCCCTTGCCCTGCAGCATCTGCTGCACAGCTGGGTCCCTGCGGTGGAGCGTGACCCACAGCTGTGCCCCCGTCCCTGCAGCTGCTCCCTGGCCCTGCCCCTGGGGCAGAAGCAGCCTCTGCTGAGGGGCAGTGCCCTGCTGCCAGCAGAGGGTCCAGCCCCAGGGCTGCCCCTGGTACCGGTGCTGCTTGGGGGGGTTCCTGGCTGGTGCAGGTGGGTGTCCCCAGGGAACCTTTTGGGAGGAGGTTGGGGGCTGTGGGGTGGGAGGTCTGGCACCAGGCAGGGTTGGCTGGGGGCCGCAGACAGGGCTTTCAGGCGCGCAGAGGGGGGGTGCCCAGGGATGGAGGAAGGGATCCCGGCCCAGGGTTTGGCCCCCCCACTACGCTCAGGCTCCCCACATGCACTGCCACCTCCCAGCCTGCAGATCCGTCCCCCGGGGGTGATGGAGGGAGAAACCTGTCTGGCAAACACCCCCAGACCCAGCTGTGGGACTGCCGTGTCCCCCCCCATCCTCCTGATCTCACCAGGCTCCCCAGCATGGCAGGGATGTCTATGTCTCCAGCAATTCCTGTGGAGGAAGGGATCCCGGCCCAGGGTTTGGCCCCCCCACTACGCTCAGGCTCCCCACATGCACTGCCACCTCCCAGCCTGCAGATCCGTCCCCCGGGGGTGATGGAGGGAGAAACCTGTCTGGCAAACACCCCCAGACCCAGCTGTGGGACTCCCGTGTCCCCCCCCATCCTCCTGACCTCGCCAGGCTCCCCAGCATGGCAGGGATGTCTGTGTCTCCAGCAATGCCTGTCACCACTGGGGACCTCCTCCCTCATCTTGGCCAGGCTGCCCGGCTCTGGGCACGGAGCCTGGAGCAGGGCTGGAGCCAGAGCCCAGGGTGACCCCACTCCCTTGGGTCACCCCACTTGGACTGGGTGTTCCCTCCCATCCTTCCTGGGGTCTCTGACTGGACCCCAAGGGGAGGTTGCCCATGAACCACAGGGATCTAGACACAGGCTTCTCTGAGGTGACGTACTTTACTGCGCTGTGGATGGGCAAAGGGTGCCTGGGCTGTGCCTTGGCGAGGGATGTGAGGGATGCAGCAGGGCTGGGCTGGGCTGGGCTGGAGGGGCTGGGAAGTGGACACTGAGCCATCTGGGATGGGGAGGGTGGGAGAACCCAGACAGGGGCTGTGCTGCTCTGGTCTTGAGTGGGGCAGGAGAGACCCTCTTTGGCTGGGGTATATCCCCGCGTCCCTGCCATCCAGCTGCAGCTCCCCCCGCCCGGGGGGGGCCGGTGCTCTTGGGCTGTAGTTGCCCAGTGCCCACTTGGACCATGGCACCCACCAGCTTGGGAGGGCACTGGGGGGCACAGGTCTGATGCTGACTGTACACCCCACCAGCGTGGGAGCTCCTGTGGGGCAGCCTGAGCCCTCCTCTCAGCTGTGGGCTCAAAAACCCCTTTCTCAAGCTGGGCCCTGCGGAAATTTGGGGGAGAAGCTGGACTGGACAGTGATGATGGGGGTGTCTGTTGTTGCTCCAGGACCAGGGGGTGTGTGGAGGGGCTGGCACACAGGGGGCTCAGCGGGTACTGTGGGCAGTGGAGCAGCTGTAACGCTGGGGAGGGGGCTGCGTAGCACCCCAAGAGCCGTGGGGTGGTGGGTGAGGGTTTATCTGCAATGGGGTGACCCCTGGTGTGCGGGGGCTGGGGAGGGGGCTGAGCTGTGGAGCTCAGACGAGTGGCGGTGGGAGGCAGAAGAGGAATCACTTGTTTTTCCAGAGAAACCAGGGAGTGTGATGGCCGTGTGTGTCTGAGCGCTCCCTGGAAAGATGCTAATGACGCAAAACACAGAGGCTACAGATAAACTTGGGCTGAGGGAGATGGGGGTTTATTTGCGGACTTTAAGTTTTGCAGTAAAATGACATAATTGATGATGTTTACTCCTGTGGCAGCGCACTCAGCAGCCTCGCTCTCAACATTCCTTCTAACAATATTTGATATTTTTCCCCTAGTTTGTTTTTTTTTTTCCACATTGTCCAGGGTGGGGGCGGTGACTGCCTGCCTCCAGCGAGAGGCCGTGGCGGGGGCTGGCTGCCCCCTGGCCCTGGCTGCCTGTGGGGCAGGGGCACATTCCCCTGGCTGGAATGGGGTGCCCCTCTGGGAGGTTGGGGAGCAGCCAGTGGGGTCGAGGCCATGCCCAAGGGGGGGCAGAGGGAGCGGGGATCACCCTGGTGTGGGGCAGGTGCCTGGTGGCCTCCTCAGGTGGGAGGGGGGTGGGATGCGGGGCGTCCTGCAGCCTCAATTCCCACCTTGTCCCCGGAGGCTCCCCTGTGGTGGGGCCAGCTCTGGTGAGAAGCCGCAGCGTCGGGCACCAGGTGTTGGGTAAATATCCCCGTGGCTGCCTTCGTGCCTCCCTCACCCCTCGGGATGGGCGGGCGCAAGAATGTGCTGGGTAAACAGGGCCGCAGTGAGAGTGCGGTGGGGGGGCTGCCCCTCTCGCCTGCCCCTGGGGCAGAAGCAGCCTCTGCTGAGGGGCAGTGCCCTGCTGCCAGCAGAGGGTCCAGCCCCAGGGCTGCCCCTGGTACCGGTGCTGCTTGGGGGGGTTCCTGGCTGGTGCAGGTGGGTGTCCCCAGGGAACCTTTTGGGAGGAGGTTGGGGGCTGTGGGGTGGGAGGTCTGGCACCAGGCAGGGTTGGCTGGGGGCCGCAGACAGGGCTTTCAGGCGCGCAGAGGGGGGGTGCCCAGGGATGGAGGAAGGGATCCCGGCCCAGGGTTTGGCCCCCCCACTACGCTCAGGCTCCCCACATGCACTGCCACCTCCCAGCCTGCAGATCCGTCCCCCGGGGGTGATGGAGGGAGAAACCTGTCTGGCAAACACCCCCAGACCCAGCTGTGGGACTGCCGTGTCCCCCCCCATCCTCCTGATCTCACCAGGCTCCCCAGCATGGCAGGGATGTCTATGTCTCCAGCAATTCCTGTGACCACTGGGGACCTCCTCCCTCATCTTGGCCAGGCTGCCCGGCTCTGGGCACGGAGCCTGGAGCAGGGCTGGAGCCAGAGCCCAGGGTGACCCCACTCCCTTGGGTCACCCCACTCAGCGGGCAGGACTGGGTGCCCCCTCCCATCCTTCCTGGGGTCTCTGACTGGACCCCAAGGGGAGGTTGCCCATGAACCACAGGGATTTGGACACAGGCTTCTCTGAGGTGACGTACTTTACTGCGCTGTGGATGGGCAAAGGGTGCCTGGGCTGTGCCTTGGCGAGGGATGTGAGGGATGCAGCAGGGCTGGGCTGGGCTGGAGGGGCTGGGAAGTGGACACTGAGCCATCTGGGATGGGGAGGGTGGGAGAACCCAGACAGGGGCTGTGCTGCTCTGGTCTTGAGTGGGGCAGGAGAGACCCTCTTTGGCTGGGGTATATCCCCGCGAAGGTGGGATAATCCAGGGCTGGGGTGAGGGTGTGGGATGCTTTGGGCTGGAGCAGGGAATGGAGGGGTCTAGGGCTGGGGACACAGGGCAGGGGTCTCGGGTGCAACCAAAGGGTCCCAAGAGGGCCAAGCAGGGATTCTAAGTGCATGCAAAGGTCCCTGGGGTGCTGGGCAGAGGGCTTGGGGGTAGCCAAGGGGATGCTCACAAGCATGCAGAGCAAGGGTCCTGGGTGCAGCCTTAGCTCCTGGGTGGGGGCAGGGATCCTTGGAGGAGAGCAGAGGTCCCGGGGGTGAAGAGCAGAGCTCTTGGGACAGGGCAGGGGTCCTGGCTGTGGATCCAGGCTCCTGCGAATGTGTCTGGGAATGCTGGGAGCGCAGAGCAGGGTCCTGGGGCACAGTCAAGGGGCTGAGGGCAGCAGAGCTGGGGTCCTGGGGTACAACCAGGGATACAGCTGGGGTGCAGTGTCAGGCCAGTGCAGGAGTCCTGGGGCAGGGTGGGCAGAGCCCTAGTGCTGCCCGGCCCCATAGAGCAGGGGGTGGTAGAGGGGGCAAGGGTAGGAGAACATGAACTTGACGGCGAACTTCATCTCCTTGTTGTGCTTCTGCCAGGGGTAGATGGCGAGGAGCAGCAGGCGGCCGCCCACCTTGCGGCCCATCACCAGGAAGCTGCCGCTGAGGCTGTCGAGCTGGGGGCAGGGGCAGGCGCCCGCGTTCCTCATGTGCAGCACCATCTTCTTGGTGTCCTTGCGCTTGAGCGGGCCCAGCTTCAGCACCTTCTTCTTCTGGGCGGCCACCAGCCGCCGCTCCCCGTTCTCCTCTGTCATCTCCTTGATGCGCATCTTCACCACTGTGTGGGGCAGCCATGGGGCACAGTTGGGGAGGGGGTGACACTGCCCTGGGGTGCTGCTGGAGGGGGGGTGTGGGGTGTGGGCTTGGCACCTGTACAGGACAGGGTGCATCCTGGCCCTGGGGTGGGACCCAGAAGCAGGGTTTGTGGGGAATTTACTGTGTGGGGAGGGAAAGGGGCTGTTGGTGAGGGGTTCAGTGGAGACCCCCACTGACCCTCCCAAATGTCCTATTCTGCCTATCCCCCCACCCTTCTCCTTTGGTGCACCCATCCCATCCACACGTGGCTCACAGGGTCTCCCCTGAGGTTGTCCCTGCAAAGCCATGCCCTTCAGCCGCCCCTCGCCTGGGCTGTCAGAGCTGGGGGAGGGCTGCCCCTTGCCCGGGGGGGAGCAGGAAGGGGACCCCAGCACTCACCGAAGTCACTGGAGCACATCTGCTCCATCATGCCGTCTGCCTTGTGCTCCATCTCGCACTGGGTGCAGATCTTGGACACTGTGGTGAGAGACCAGCCGCTGTCACAGCTCTGCTGCCGCCGC